CAATTCACGGCGCAACGCTGGGAAAGAACCCTGCGACTCCTTATCGAGCGACTTAGGCTCCTGACAGCTGGTCTCTTTGGCCTCCTTGCCATTCAACTTTCCCTCGTCCTCGGAGTCAGACGACTCCGAGGCTAGAGCCCCGTCCTTCTCCTTAGCATCTTTGTTCCCCTTAACGGGCCCCTCTCGGGAGCTCCCTGACTGGGCCTGCTCAAATACCCTGCGTACTTTTGTAAGCTCTTGAGAGCTTTCTCCACAACCACCCTCGCTCTTAATGTTACTACCTAGCATGTTTCCCATTTTTTAATATGTTACTCACCGCGTGAGGCCCAAGGAATCCGCCACTTACGCGTGAGCCTGAGGGGAGTCTAAAAGCCCTGTAGGTGCGCGCCACCCAGAGCCCAGGCTTATCCCCAACTCACCTGTCTCGCAGCTCTGTACTGGAGCGTTGTCCGCTGTCACGTCTCGGGGGTGATCAGTCCCCGTACGGGCCACCAAATGTCGATGTCGCTCCCGGCCGGCAGGAAGGACACACGACAAAGCCTGGCAGTGGACAACCTTTTCTTTTATTTTCCTTCTCCATACAGCCTGCCCTGGGATCGCTCCCAGCCGAAGCCTCCTTTGGTCCGCTCCCCGCGGCTCCTTCTGGGCTTCTACTTCCGGGCTTCTTCTTCCCCCCCAGGGGTGGCACCAGTATATATACGGATACAGTGTCCAATCATGTTAAAGTAAGCAAGGCAAGCTGATTGGCTAACATCATCAGTTGCCAGGCAGACTATATTGTTGAGCGGGTTGCTTACGCGGTAAGCAGGAAACTAACGTGCTCGATGGGAGGGGTAATCTACCTCAGGCTTTACTCTTTACTACAGGCCTCACGTCCGCCAAGTGAGGCGACCGGGCTCGGGGCTGCGGCTCCCAACAATCTGTCTATTTAGAAGGCAGAAAATCTTTCAAAAAAGGGCAGCAATCACACCCAATCATTTTCTAGATTCCATCCAAAATGGAATTCTGTCCAGGGCCTCCACCCCTAGAGTAGTAAGCAGAATCATTCTTTGTTAATGACAGCTATGAAGACTTCAAACACAGCAAGACCAAATTCTGCAATTGCCCAGCAGTTAAAAAGAAGCATCATGTAAGATTTAAGGAGCAGCCTTTTTTTTTTTTTTTTTTTGGTCTTTTTTTTGAGACGGGTCTCGCCATGCAGTTCAGGCTGGCCTTGAGCTCACCTTGTAGCCCAGGCTGGTCTCGAACTCGAAACCTTCCACCTCAGCTTCCTGAGTGCTAGGATTACAGGCGTGAGCCACCACACCCGGCTAAGGAGCAGCCTTTAAAGGCAAACTTGTACTGGTGAGGAGTTTGCATGGTAAGAAAAACATTCAAAACAACTTTAGTGAGCAAGGAAACAAATGTAATGGCTGGGTTTTGTGTCACCTTTTTTCCATTACAAAAATGGATGCTAGGCCTTGACAACAGAGCAGAACCAGAGCTGCTACAGAGCACATTTCTGTTTCTGTAGGCCACATGGTAGAAAATGACCAGTTGTAGCTCTTGAATTCATTATTACAAGTGTAAGAACCCAGCAAGGGACTACTCTCTTTCCTCTAGTATTAATTCCAAATTCCCTGGGTCATGGTGGTGGGGCCACTCTAGTTTAATAGGTTGTTTCTTGGATCTATCAACAGTGGAGGGGCAGGTTTACAGGCTCCAAGAAACATGACCAAAATTCAGTCGACGAGGGAAAGCTTCCCCAAAAGAGGTGCTATGTGGACAATTGAAAATGTGTCCACCATCGATATAACACATTGTAGTCTGGGGGACAGGGAGGAAAGCTCGACATTATGGCCTTCAAATTACATATCTATGATCTTGCTAACTGGCTTTTTTCTCTTTTCATGTGGATACACTGCCTCCCCTTCTCTGACAATTTCCATTATTTTTTTTCACGATTTGATTCAAAATTGACTTTGATCAATGAATGAGTCTTCTCTATCCAACTCTATTCTTCTGCATCTCAAGTCCTTACCACTTAGGTATATACTGGGTTTACGTATTATTTGAAGTTAATGTATACATAATTATGCATTTTTTCCTTCAGTGATAGATATTATTTTTCTCTAGAGTGATGGATTCTAAATTGGTTTGTATGAGCTTCCTGAAAGGGTTTTGGCCCAGACAGGACACTGTAGCCAGGAAAACCTCAACCGGAACTAGGAAGCCCCTATCTCTCCGCCCCTTGGAATTTACCTGTGACACCATCTTCCCCGCCCCTGGGAATTTGCCTATGGCGCGAAACCTAGGACCAATGGGCTACCCGTGCATCCCTGATGCCCCCTTAGGTTCCACCCCAAACCGAAGCTACTTACATACCCCCTATGCCACGTGTCTGCTAGAGAGATCTCGGGGGTGCCGGTCATCTCTCTCCGGTCATCTCTCTCTGTGTTCTCAGAATAAAGGCCTTTTTTTGTCTTATACTTCTCATCTTTTGGAAATAATCCTATCACTTCCTACAGTTAAATCTTCACAGAAAATTAACTCATGATCCAAAAATCATAAAATACAGGTGAAACAATCTGCCACATCAACAGACACATATCAAGATTAGATTCAATTATGTCATATGCTTGAAATGATTAAATAAAAAATAATTTAAAACTAGATTTAAAAATTAAGAAAGATCAAACAGATGTGGAAAGAAGTAAAATTACACATATAAAGATGTAGGCAAATACTGGCTTAACATGGACTAAATGGAGCTGAAAAGAAAATTAAGAATTTAAGAAAACAGAGCAGAAGACATTACAAAGAGCAGTAAAATAGGTAAGAATATGAGGTTGAGAGGTATTAAGTCAACCTTTCCAAGGCAGAAAAAGCCCAAATAATTTATATAGACATTTTCCCCCTCAAAAACATAGACCATAAATTCTCCATTCTTCTTTATAGGTTATATTTGGTAACTTCAAAGAAGACAGAATAGAAGGAGAGAAGAAAGTAACTTTATAGTGAACCTCAAAGAGCTGAGATCAACTTAGTGCTACAATATTTACCTAGGAATTTATCTAGGAGGTAAGAGGTGCAAGGTTCAATCCCTAGTACTAGGAAAAAACAAAACAAAACAAAACAAAAAACGTATCTATTTGGAAAAAAAGGTTTTCTGTAATGAACATGTACAGACTTTGGTCATTCCCTAAACAAAACAGCATATAAGTATTTTTACAGCATTTATGTTGCTTTAGGTGATATAAGTAACTCAGAGATTTAAAGTACCTAGGAGGATGTGCTAAAGTTATATGCAAATACTATGCCATTTCACATAAACATCATCAGGATTTTGGTACCCTTGATGGAGGGGAGGCAGTATCTAGGAATCAGCTCCCAAAGGATACCGAGGCAATTATATTGCAACCTAATCTAACATATTCTGATTATTATCATTATTATTATTGGTCTTTTTGAGATGGTTTCACTATGCAATTCAGGCTGGCCTTGAACTCACTTTGTAGCCCAGGTTGGCCTTGAACTTCCAGGAATCTTCTTGCCTCAACCTACTAAGTACTGGGATTACAGGCTTGCACCACCACACCTGGCTATATTCTGATTATTGGTCAGTGGTGCTTGTAGTATTGGTCTGCCCCACAATGGAGGAAATATATTAGGCAGGATTTAAAAATAATTGGCTAATACTTGAGCTACTTTTTGTCACCTGCACTGGCAATTCTAAACAGGGTTCCTGATAAAATATTCTTCATTGAGGCATCATTGTGCTTCATGGCCACTAATTGAACCATTAATTGAAACCATTAATTGAACCATTAATTGAAACCATTAATTGGAAAAATAAACTTTTAATTAAATTAAGTTTAATTAAACCATTAATTGAAAAATAAAGTTTTAATTAAGTTTAATTAAACCATTAATTGAAAAAAATAAACTTTTTTAAAAAGGTAAAATAAAAATATTTAACAGTAACAGGAAAGAACAGAACAGAGCAGGAAAGAATCGATAGGTCAAGTGTGCCAAACTCTTTGTCTTGGTTAGGACAGACTATAATGGGCAAATGAAAAAGGATTATGGCATAAAATATTAATGCAATTTTACAATTATGTTTACTCATCTGGATCAATGTGTTTGGGTGCGCATTTGTAGTGTCTTGCTTTAAATAAATGGACTTGTTTGGCTTGTTTTCTGCTTCTAATAACTATCTCCACACTGTACTTCAACTTTTATTAAGGCGTCCTAGCTTGATTTCTTGCTAGGCTCCGGAGAATCACAGCCTTCCAGTGTTCTCTACAAATTTTAGCCTATCAACTAGGTAGCAGTTAAGATGTCGCCTTAGTTTACGAAAAGCTCCACCAGAGTTTTTCTTCTAATTAAACATTCACTTCTTTACAGTTTCCCCATTCTGTCTTAGGAAAATACTTACAAATTTCAAGAGTCCTTCTACTACATAAAGCAATACAGTTTTTACAAAGTAGCAACCCAGATAACTGTTGTAGGAAAACTGGAAATTAAATACTTAAAAACAACCACGTATAATGCCAGCGTTAACAGCGGTCACCGAGCAGCTGCAGTCTCGGCAGCCTCCCCCCACCACCGTTCGCGTGCCTGGCGCGGCGAGCCCGTGTCTTGGGCCGGTGTTTCCCGCCACGGGCTCGCAGACGGCGGAGGGGCTCCCCGGCCGCCCGCAGAGGACCGCTAACCGTAGCAGGCCAGGGCGCTCCTTCCCGAAGGTCCTAGTTTTCACCGCAGGCAATCTCTTGGGCATCTACCTCACCCCAGCCCGCCCATATCCCCACCACAAAACAAAATATACACTCAGAAGTCCTCCTCCGTGGGAGTCACGCCTCACGCGGGACAGGCGGAAAACTCCCGCCCACACCCAGGAGTCGGACCCCGCCCAGCGCGCGCTCCCGCTGGGCGCGGCCCCAGACTCCTCCCTCGGCCGCGAACCGCCCCTCGGGCGGGGACGCGCTGAGGAAAGCGCGCGGCCGCGGGCCTCCGGCGCCATTTTGGATTCGGTGGTGTCTCGGTCGAGCGCGGGGCTTTAACGCCTTGATCGTAGCTCGCGGAGGGACTCTCTGGCAGCGACGGGGTGTCTAGCGCGGGAACGCAGACAGCGCGGCACTGAGAAAGAGGGCTTCTCCCTGGGCAGTCAAAGCCGCAAAGGTGGAGCCGCGTTGGCGCCTGCCGCGGGACCAGCGCCTCGGATGCGGGCGGAGCGCGGGGGGCCGTGGCGACGGGGGCGCGAAGCGGGGGCCCCGGGGGGCCTCATGTGAGAACCGAGGGAGCAGCAGCAGCCGCCGTCGTCCCCGCAGCCCGGGGTGGTGTGAGGGGGACGCCGCCCCCAGCAGCAGGTAACCGCGGAGGGGCGGGGCCGTGGCCCTCCGAGCGGCGGGCCGGAGGAGCGGCGGGCAGGGCGCGGCGCCCGGACTCGGAGCCTGCTCGGGGGCGTTTCCCGCTGTGCTGCTGCGAAACATGTCAACAAGGCGCGGTGCGCGCGCGTGCAGCTGTGCCTGGGCGCTGGCCTCGGCGGGTGGGTGACGGGCGCCGCGGAGCTTGCCCAGGCGGGGCCAGTGCGGGCGTGGGCAGCTCGAGCGCTGGCAGGCGCGGGGAGAACCCAGTGAACTGCGGAGGTCGGAGCCCGAGGATGTCCCGGAAAGCCAATCCGCGGAGGTGACGCCTCGCCGCGCAGCCTAGTGGAAAACTTGGTCAACTTGAGACGGGCCGCTCTGCGCCTGCTTTTGGCTTGTGCAGCCTTTTGAGGAGCAGTTACAAGCAGGGATCGGGAAGCTGCCCGGCCGGTCATAGACTTGCATCTCCGAGCCGAGTCGTGAGATTATTTTTTTGTTGTTAATGGTGTCCAGTCGAATAACCTAGTTTAATTTTTAATTCCTCGTAAAAAAAAAACTGATTTTGATTATCCTTGCACTGTGTACAAAATGGTATCCATTTCTAGTTGTCTGTATGTGATTCCGGGGCAAGTTTTCTCCAGTGTTTCCCCCTATCATTCTGAGAATCTGTTGTAATCTTGTATTTCAACCTAAGAACGCACATTTGAATTTTTATGTTAAAGCAAAGTACATAAAGGAATTGTAACGCCAAAACAGTACCTTTAGGGCTAAGTGCAAATGAGCTTTTAAAATTACTACATAAGCGCTTAATACCTTGAGGGACACCCAGCTAGTGTTCTATTCTACAGCAGTAATCAGCTTGATTACTTTCGGAGTTTGTAGAAATGTCAGGTTAGCGCTAACTCCTTGTTGTGCTCTACTAGCCTAGTTTTTCCTTATCGGTTTGCTTAAGAATTGTTTTCACTTTGTCTAAAAGTAAGAGATGCAAAAGTCCATTGATGTAAGTTATTTGCAGGTGAGTGGATGCTCAGAATTAATTTTCCGCACAAAGCTTCATGTGTAAATAGATTTAATAAAAGCCATGCTTCTGAAAGTATTGGAAGTCTTGGCATAAGTGAGATTAATTTGGAAAGAATTGATAAAATTTTTATTAGGTATTTACTCAATGTTGTTTTCATGAATAAGGGAAGTACAGAAGACATTTTTATTAGCAATTGGCCTTACGTTTTTGTGTTGCTTAATATGCTGTATGACTGTACTATATGTCAGAACATATTTGACAGTTGGCAGAGTTTTCACTGTTCAGAGTGCTAAGAATTTACCTCGGTGGTCATATATTCTTTTTTTATTTAAATCAAGAGATACTTTATCTTAGAATTACATACTTTTAAAGCTATTTAAAATACCAACTTCATGGCCAGGCGTGGTGGCCCAATGCCTATAATCTCAGCGCTTGGACAGGTGAGGCAGGAGGATTGCTAAGTCCAGTTTGGGCTACATAGTGAGTTCATAGCACAGCAAACTGTCTCAAAAAAATTTTTTTTTCTGAATTTGGAAAGTATTGAAATAACTACTTAAAATAATAATGTGATAGACAAAAGAAGCTTTGTTTTTACTAATATGATGACCAGCAAAGCATTCTCTCAAATTTTATTATTTTGTAAGTCTATTCTACTTTATTTTTACCTATCCATATATACTTTATAAAAAATGAGCCATCCCATCTTTTAGTTTAGTAGTTACAATTTTAGACCTTTTCAAAAAGAAGCAGTCAGCATTCCATAGCGAAAAGTAGAAATTATAAAGACTGCTTTCTTCTTGAATGTCATCTCAAAGTTGCATGTAGCTTTATATAATCAGAAGAAAAATTATAAACTCTAGGTAGTAAATTTATATGGTATCTATATTAAAAATTAGCCTTCAAGATAAAGCAGAAACATGGGTTATTATGACAGCATTAATCTCTAGATGGACAATACTATACTGTAGGAGATTATGATTGTGCTACCTTTTTACTGGACATGCTTTTTTAAAAAAGTCTGCTTTTAGACTTGATACGTGAGTTTTACTCTTCCAAAAAACTACCCTCTTGTCACCCGTCATTTAGTCTTCTGTGTTTCTCTTCTACTGTTCAATAGGATATACATCCTTTGCTTCACTTTATTCCTATAGTTAGAAGTAGGACCATTAAGGAATAGGCAGTTAGTGAACATAAGCTAGGACCTCCTGGATGGAACTTCTTAGAATAAAGGTCACTATACTACCATCTGTTTTTGCTCTCCAGCTTCCAGTTCTTTCACAAGTTGTGCTAGCTACTGGGTGGAGAAAGTGCAGGGACATATTTTGCTTAGTCATACTGAGGGGTATTCTTTATCCCACAAAGGGATGAGAAATCCTTACATGCTGATTTGCCATAAGTAAGTTGGTGTCACAGACCAATCTGTTGAAAGGTGATGACCCCAGGTCTAGGTCCAAACCACCACTCTGCTGGAACTGCTATAAACAAAAGTATTGCAGGCCCTAATGCAAATAGGAGTACTAATGAATATCTGCTCATTTAGAACCTAGTGTACTTACCCAGCTAACAAAATGAGGTCTCTTTTATCTGATTATATGTAGTATAATGAATTAACATTAAAAGGAATGTGTAAAATGTAGAAAAAAATGCATATTGCGGAAAAAAAGTCACCTGTAATCTCACCATCCATTGTGAATTATAATAATTTGGTGGGTCCCCTTCCTTCTGTCCCTTCCTCTTGGCAATGTTTTTTTTTTTTTTTGTCTTTTTCTTTTTTTTTTTTTGTCTCCTCTTGGCAATGTTGAGGTTGAAATCTAGGGCCTAGCTTTCGACTAGCTGAGATTTGCTTACTTTTAAGTACAGGTTGCAAATGTCTAGCAATAGCAGGTGTAACAGACTACTTAGGAAATTCTGTTGACTAATTAACATCCCTTTTGGAGATTTTGGGGGAATCATTTAAGAATCCAAATATAAAACTGTGCACCCCCATGTTCAATCAACAGTACCACAAAACCTCAAATATAGTAGATATCTTTAGATGACTTACAAGAAACCTTTAGAAAGTATCACTGTTGGTTCCTTTTCATATCTGTTTTAATTAGCAGACTATAACCTTTAGTTTCCATTCTTATTTTTCACTATATTTTATTTTGGTATTCTAGAATTATTGGTCCAGTCTATGCATATTTGGGTTTAAATACAACAAATACACATCTTGGTGAAAGAGAATGAATTGGGGGTTTATTTCTATTTAAAGGATAAGTAGAATGAAAAACTGATGTATTTTTCTAAACAGGATGAAACGAGGAAGAGCTAGTGACGACAGTTCATCTGAAGAGGGTACTACAGAGAAATCAAAGAAACTGAGGACTACAAGTGAGCATTCTCAGACATGTGACTGGGGTAATCTCCTTCAAGACATTATTCTCCAAGTATTTAAATATTTGCCTCTTCTTGACCGGGCTCATGCTTCACAAGTTTGCCGCAACTGGAATCAGGTATTTCACATGCCTGACTTATGGAGGTGTTTTGAATTTGAACTGAATCAGCCAGCTACATCTTACTTGAAAGCTACACATCCAGAGTTGATCAAACAGATTATTAAAAGACATTCGAACCATCTACAGTATGTCAGCTTCAAGGTAATATTTTTAACCCTTCTCTTTAAAAGCAGAGTATTTTTGGTGGCTTTTGGTGTCCTAACCAGTGCATCTCATCTTTAATTAGTGCATCTCACCTTTAAAATACTTGGCTAAGGGAAAGTGCATAACATGTTTCTGCTGACTGGAACCACAGGGGGTTCAGAAGGCCCATTGTGATCATGTTAAAAGATTTAGAATTTAGCATATCATAGATGCTGTCACATCACAGATAATTGTAATGTTTGTTGGAGCTCAATGACTCCATTATATTTATTAGTAATTTCTTAAAAGAGAATAAGCATCAAGCATTGACCAGACTAAATTGAACAGTGAATTAGTGCAAACACATTTGAGGAAAAAAGGAATAAACAGTAAAATAATAAAAATTGGGCATATTATGATTAAGGATATTACTGTACTATTGAGGAAAATTTAACTGTGATTTCTGCTTAATATGGGCTTAGCATTTTCTAGCTTTTTGATATGAGATCTTCAAATACAAAGGTGGCATAGAAACTGGTTTAAAGGTTTAGAGGAATATATTTTAGAGAAAAGTAGAAAAGAATGGGTGGAAGAATGCCATTGAGAACTGTTTGCTTCTTTTTGGTGCTGAAAGGAACATTTTGAAAATCACATAATGAGATAAATGAAGTAGGATAGTTTTTGAGATGATCAGATCACTTAGAGAAAAAAGTGGGTTGAGTGTGAATATTGAGGCTTGTCATGATGTGTCTGAAAATGAATGATGAAATACGGGCATGCTTACTAAAACATGAAGTAAACATGGGATTTTTTTTTTGTAGTGAAAAATTGGTAATTGTTGAAAAGTAGCAGTATATAAATGACTGCTTTACTGTACCAGTTGCTAAACAGATTAAGTTAAACCTAGGTAGAGCAGTAGTTCTTAACCTAGAGCTTTTCACCATAACTAAAGCAGCTTCTTACCAAACTCAGGACCATCTTTCTTCTAACAATGTCATTCCTTCTTAGGAAGAGATCACTGGCTTACTCTCCTATAGGTTTCTAAGGAGGAGAGCCTTGGTAGTAAGAATGGTTAATAGATTATGGCCTTCTTCCTAGGAAAAATGCAGAAAAAGTAGGCTTCCTAGTTAAAGGAATTTCAGATAATTAATGGATAGGTTTTGGTATAGATACGTTCTATGGAGTACTTGGAATATACTTAATATTAAAAAATTGTTGTTTATTGAAATTTAGATTTAATCGGGTATCTTGTATGTTATCTGACAACCATAACTAGGAGCAAGGGTTCCAGAATGGTTGGGGAATGAAACAAAAATCCAGCAACTCTTCATTCTCCTTCCCCTACGGAAAAGAACATTCTTTTTGGTGTTAGTCATCTTTGAGTTGCCTGAGAGTATTCTAATGGCAAATGTTATAAAATAAATACACTCATCTGATAGATCTTCAAGATCAATTCCATACAGTAGATTGGCTTGATCAGTTTTATTCTTTTATAGCCCTGTGACAATTCAGATGTACCCAACTTGTGTAACCCTTATAAAATCATTTGTGCTATACATTTAACATTTTTATGAGGCCCCCCCCCCGAGGAAATAATTTTTGATTTACACATTAGAAAAAAGGCACATCAGAGAACTCTTCTGTATTTTTACAAAAAAGTCATCACTGACTATAGGCTTGGCTTGTAATCAAAGTTACTTGATCACAGAGGGCTTGAGATCATCGGTCCCATCCCCAGAATTCTGATTCAAATGGTCTGGAATGGGAACAAGAATTTGTACATCTTAATAAGTTCTCAGGTCGTGTTGATAATATTGTATGGGAACCATGCTCAGAGAACCACTGGTGTAAAGAAACTTAACCAGAGGATAGTATTACAAATATCTCTGAAATTGCAATATAAATTAGTCTATTAGATTTAATGTAAATTAATGTATGTATGTATGCCATCTTTTAATCAGTATTGAGATAAAGGTATGTACATGAATCTGGAAATTAGGATAAAGATATTATTTGAACTGTTCTGTTTTAAGATGCTTTTTAACTCAGGGAACAAATAACGTTTTAAAACCCTCCTGGGGTTTTTTTCCAAATTATTTTTGGCCATATTATCCTTCCAGGAAATGTCTAGGCAGATGAATGTATGAGAATAGCTACCTCTTTTGGATCAGATTTTCATGTTTGATTAATTTAAACACCCTTATTTTACTTTTTAATAGTACTAGAAATTGAATCCAGGGCCTTTGCCCCACGCTACATAGTTGACTCTTTATTTTGTATTTTGAGACAGTGTCTTGCTAAGTTGTGCAGGTTGGGCTCAGTCTCCTAGAATGCTGGGTCCTTATTTTATATACCTCCTTCTGTTGAAAATATTAATGAATTCCAGGTTTGGTTCATCTGAACATTCTGAGTAAGTAGTCAGTTTCTGTTGCCTTAAAATATTTAACATAAGTATTGCACTTTATTATTTGATCTGCCAAATATGTAACTTTTTCAAAGACTGTAAATTTATTATTCCATTGGTTTATGGTCAGTTTGAATGAATAGTGTTCCCAACACTAAATAGAGATCTTATAATAAAGACTGTCTTAACAATTGCACTTATTTTTAAGGTTGAAGTTAAAGGAAAGAGTGGATAATTGAAAGAGTAAATGTTCTTTACATTTAGAATGCAATAAACTAAACTATTTTTAAAAATTAAGCCATGCCAAGAGCAGTGTAGATATGTGCATGGATAAAAGATGTTTTCTTTATTAAGGTTGACAGCAGCAAAGAATCCGCTGAAGCAGCTTGTGATATATTGTCACAGCTTGTGAATTGCTCTTTAAAAACACTTGGACTTATTTCGACTGCTCGGCCAAGCTTTATGGATTTACCAAAGGTATCTCTAGGTTCATTTTATTGGTTCTTACTGAGAAATCCAGTGAAAGCTAAACTTATTCTGTTGATAGTAAAAGTATACATAATGGAAAACAAGTTACTATTTAGAATGTTGAGAAGCCATATTTTTAAAATAATTTTTAACATTTAGTGCTTCTTGATAGGTAAACTTATAGAGTAAATTTAGAGAAGATTCTCTAGGAAGTGCTAAAGGAATTTAACTAAAATTGAAAGGCGTGTCAGAAAAAAGAACAGATAACGTACTCCCTTTGGACTGACAGAGTACATTGGTGAAGTTAGAATAGGAACAGTAGAGAGTGCCAGTGTGGCCTGCTTACATGAACTCTACTGGCAAATGCAAAGATGTTTTTAAGCAGTTAGTATTGATACAGCTTGCATTGCCTTACACATTTTATATAAAGAAAAATTTTGTGGAGAGTTAACTGTTCATATTCACATACAGGTTTGAACATGTTGATTATGAATTGTGTTGGAGCATCTATTAGCCTTTCTTTTCTTACCCTTCCAAATTCTTTGTTCATGAGCTATAGCTTATTTCAGCTCTGATTCACAGTCACATACTTTGAGTATTCTCTGCTTCCCATTTCCCTACAGCGGTCTCTTTTGATTAGAGTCTGTGTCCTAAAATGTATATAATAAATTGATATATTTGTGGTAAAACATTAAAATCAAAGCCTTGAAAATTTGAACACGTTTGAGAAAGTTTAAATTTGGAGTTTTATCTAAGTATAATTTTGATTGTCTTTGAGTCATTTTTTTATTTTATTTTTTTGGTACCAGGAATCTCCTAGGAGCTCGCAGTATTCTGGCAGGCACTGTGCCCCTGAGCTATATCCCTGGCCTTGGAGTTAATATTTTATATAAATTGCTATGTTCCAAATGAGTTTATAGGTTTTCAATTGATTTTTCTAATTTTTAATGATTGTGCCAGTAGTTGCTGCCTTTTTTTTTTGGACAGGCTCTTGCTATGTAGTTCAGGCTGTCCTTGAGCTCATAGCATCTTTCTGCTCAGCCTCCTGAGTGCTGGGATTACAGATGTGTGTCACCACACCCAGCTCATTATTGCTATTTTAAATCAATCATTACTGTGCAGTTCGGTGGTATAAAACACAAGAATAAGGTTACTAGAGAGTGGAGGGAACTGTCTGAAAGGTATTCTCATCCTAGTTTCCAGGCTACTTCTTTTTACCTTCCATTAGTTACTGTGATTTAGAGACCTCTGAAAGCTTAATATTCATTCTTCACCTATAAGCAAAAAGTATCTTTCAAAGATAGCAGCTAGAATTTTTTTTTTTTTTTTTTTTTTTTTTTTAAAAACCATGTATGTAGTAACACAGTAAAGTGGTGCTGGTCCTTTTAACAGTTTTGAAATATATCATTAGGATTCAAGTGACCTATATCTGGTATTATCTGAAAACCACTAAGTTATTTCTAAAATTTAAAACAATGTCTTAACCTTTTTCCTTTTCAGTCTCACTTTATCTCTGCACTGACAGTTGTGTTTGTAAACTCCAAATCCCTGTCCTCACTTAAGATAGATGATACTCCTGTAGATGATCCATCCCTCAAAGTACTAGTCGCCAACAACAGTGACACTCTCAAGTTGCTAAAAATGAGCAGCTGTCCTCATGTCTCTCCAGCAGGTATGTTGCTCTTTTTTTCAGACACATTTTTATTGATTTGTTCATCAAATTATGGAAAAAACATGACTAATAGTTTTAATAGTTCTTTTAACCTATTTGTAGGTAGGTGAGTTAATAGGACTGCTTCCTTTCTTTTGCATAAAGATATTTTTAGTGTCATTAGAATAGTATAAATTTTGTAGTGTTACTAGCTTACACACTGATAATAATCTTATTTCCTATCATCTTATTTGATTATATGTATACAGCATGTGTTTAAAAAATGAATTTAAAAAGGGAAAGGTCCCTTGAGATTCATCTGAGGTCCTCTTGATGTAAAATAGCATTGTAGTTGAATTAATGATAGATTTTAAGTCAGAGCAGCCATATGGTTGCTTCTCTTCTTTTTCTGTGCACAGAGGGGAGAAGAGTTGTACTTAAGTGGTTGTCTTGTATTTTGCAAGCTAATGCTTTTCTGGGCTTTTTTGGTTGTTTTTTGGGGCCAAGGATCGAACTCACAACCTTGCGTTTGCCAAGTAGGCACTTAACGCTGCTGAGCTAACCTCTGGGCTCACTAATACTTTTCTTAAGTTGAACTTTGGAACCATGAGACCATTACCTGGGTAGTAGCAGCTTTTTAAGAGCTCTTTCTCACTTTTCTTCCCTAGAATTTAAGCCTTACTGTATTATCATTTTGAAATTAATTCCAGATGGTTTGTATTTATAAAGTAAGTGTAAAATGTGATTGCCATATTCTCTGTTGTTTCTTTCCTGACTCCTCTATTGACATCTTTTCCTATGTATAGCTGTGTTTGTTACATGGTAAGGCTTTTTACCTTCTTGCCATAACTAAAGCTCAGAGTTTCCCCAGGGAACAACTTTTTGGATGGAGATCTCTTGCTTATAATCCCAGGTTTCCCACATCGGAAGTCCTGGTGATGGGAATGGATGAGTCTGTTGTTATATTTTTCTACTTGTCTCTGCAACTTTTAGTTTATCATTGAGGGTATTGTAAAATAGACATTAAGAAAAATATTTTGCTTTAGCACTTACTTCCTAAATGATGTTGATCACGTTTTATTGTCTACTATATAGTTCTGATATGAGATTAAGGTTCATACTTTATAGCCTCATACTGTACAAGGTCCTTTTAATCTTGTTTTCTACTCACTCATGTGCACATTTTCTTGAGCTTTGGGGCGCTATAGTCTTTACTGTTGTGTACGGGCAAAACACTTACTTTTTTTTTTTTTAAACTTCAGCTAGCTAGCTCCAGTCCAGCCTTCAAAATTCAGCTCAGCTCTTAACCTGTTTTAACCACCACCTCCCCCTATCTTTAGCTTCCTTACTTGTGTGTTTTCATAGCACTCTAAACATAACATCTTATACACACTGTGAGAGAGAGATTTTGAGTCTTTGAATTCCCTGAAAACTGTAAGCTCATTATTCCTTTTCTGATATCTGTGTTCACTTATTGTACTGAATATCAATTCTGATACTGCAAGTTTGTGTGTTCCCATCTGATGGCTGTTGGACTAGTTGCTCAGTAAGAAGAGAAATGTATTTTTTAATAGGAAAGTGTAATCACAAAAGATTTTAACTTAAAATATATCATTATTTGTACATACTCTACGTTTTGCATATTTGGACATTTTTTTTCCTCCAAATTGAAACTGTGAGCTATTTCCTGTTTCTGTTTTCACTGAAGAGTTGATCAGACTTTTCCCTTTTCATATAGTTATAACTGGACCTTTAGGCACCATTTGACAATAATGGCTGTTGGCTTTCTTGGATATAATTCTCCTGATGTTTCCTTTGCTGGCTTCATTTTCATTTCTTAAATTTTGGTGTTTCACTGTGTTCTCTCTGTACTGGTTACCTTTTTGTTATACTGGTAAAATCTAGTCATCCTGTATGTTAATACCTTCTAATTCAGGTTCTCTGGAATTCCAGAGCCATGTGTTAGATGGCTGAGGGTTCAGTGAGCTAGAATGTCTCACTGGTGCCTCAGACTAAAGAACTTGCCTATCCTTCTAAATTCGTTTTCTTTTCCTAAGGTTGTCTCAAGAAATGCATTGTCCTATCTAGCTGTTGTAGACATGACAGACATCCTTGATTGCTCCTCTCCACAGTCTCTGTATGTCTCCAGTCATTGAGGTCTGTCAACTCTGTCACCAAAATATGCTTCCAATCTCTTTCAGCCCCTCTTAATTACTACAGATCAGATCCCTATAATCTTTGTACCCTCTTAACTGATTTCCTCATTCGCAGCCTTGTTTGTTATGTAATCTGATTTCTATTCTACAACCAGAGTAGTCTAAAACTTCCTAAACTTTATTTTGTCTTCACTTTGCTTTAAAACCTGTCATTATGCTTTTTGTATTCCTATACTCATAGTGGCTGATACGATTTATTTGGCCTTTGCCTAACTATTTGGGCTTCATCTTTTCATAGTCTCTTACTTGGATGCTGTTCTTTGAGCTCTTTCATTTGTTGGAATGCTGGAATTCATACCTATATCTGGGTGTCCACATAGGAAATACTATTTTCTTGCTTTTCCATTGTATGTGTTTTACCTTCATTTGGGGGGTCTCTTTGTGTTCATTCTGGGCTGTTTTCCCTGATGCCCTTTTAATGAGTTCGCAGAGCACATCCTTGTTAAATTGTTTGCTACTTCCTATTAGGATTAAGAATGGCTAGTTCCTGTTTACAGCTCTACCCTCCTAGCACCAGTGCTGTTTATATAAGACACTCATTAATATCAGATGAACTAATGAACATTTATTTAGTATTCTACTTTTTGAAAAACATTTGCATTTTTAAGCTTGGACGCTTGTTTCTAATTTTTTGCTGTGACTTAAAATATAAGTCACCTATTTTGGCCCATAGCAGTTGCTTCTATAAATTTCTTCTTTTTTTTTTTGTCTTTTTCCTTTTTACCGGTACCAGGGATTGAACTCAGGACTGCCTGCTTGCAAGTCAGGCGCTTATGCCGCTGAGCTAAATCCCCAGCCCCTCTATAAAATTTCTTCTTTGCAAAAAATTCTTAAGAAATGGAGGTCATAGGTCAGAACATCCAAATATTTTTATGGTTCTTGCTGTTTTTCTCTTCCCCAAGTCAGTTATGTGAATTTATACTACCAATAATATACCTGCCCCGGAACAGTTTTATTGAAACCTAATTCACATACTATACAGTCATCATTTGAAACTTTTAGTATATTGACAATTGAATCCATTACTACCATGGAACTTTAGATTTTATTCTAGGAAGACACTACATGCCTCTTTGCTGTCAAATCCTAGAACTTCCATTGTAGCTATCCCAATTGACTTTATATGTAGATTTGTCTATTCTGTGTATTTTATATAAATGGAATCATATGATCTTTTGTGTCTAGTATCCTTCTCTTAGCATGTTTTCAAGGCTTCATATGTTGTGTCATGAAGTAAAACTTCATTTCTTTTTATTGCTGAGTAGTCTTATTTCTGAATAATATTATATGGCTGTACTATATTTATCTTGACCAGGTAGTGGGTATTTGGGTTAACTATATTGAGTAATGCTGCTTTGAACCTTCATGTACCAGTTTTTGTGTGGACCTGTTTAATTTCTCCTGGATATATGTCTAGTAATGGAATTGCTGAATGGTACAGTAACTGTTACCCATTTGAGAAACTACCAGACTGTTTTCCAAAGCAGCTGCACCATTTTACATTCCTTTTGCATATTCTAACATTTTGTTATATAGCCAACCTAGGTGTAAATTGTGGTTTGGATTTGCATTTCTTAAATAGTATCTTTTTGTGTGTTTATTGGCCATTTTTGTATTTTCTTTAGAAATAATGCCTAGAGTCTTTGCATATTTTTAAATTGAATTGTTATTTCATTACTGAGTTATAATAGTTTATCAGTTTTATCTTTGTCACTACGTTGTTCTATATAGCATAGTGAAAATGTAGTCATTTATACTAATACTATTTATTGGCTCCACATATCTGTAGGACAGAAATACAAGTAGGGCTGAATTGGCCTTTTCACTTAGGATCTTAAAGGGCTAAAATCAAAGTGTCAGGCAAGTTAGGCTTTCATATGGAGGATCTAGGGAAAAATTTACTCGCATACTCATTTAAATTGTCTGAATTTCTTTCTCTGTGGTTATATGCCTGACAACTCGTTTTGTTACTGACTATTCACAAGAGGCTATATGGGGCAGTTACTCTGTTTGTAGAGACTGCTTGTGTATTGTAAAGCTAGCAATAATATGTTGACATCCCCTTTGTGCTTTGAATGTCCAACTTTTCTGCAACAAGTAAACGCTTAAAGGAACTAAGTGATTAGGACTATCCAAATAATCTTTGAGTTTTATAAGACCAGCTGTGCCATATAACATGATAGACATATTGTATTCATAGATTAGGATGTGAAATGGGGTGGGGATTAAGAGTTATGCCTGCCAAATTGCTTTAATACTTACTAAATGGCATCACCAAGTTTCTTATTTGTACCTTTTCAATTTTCCATGTTTACTTTCTCCTTGTATCAGGCATTTTGATATTACAAACAGCAAGAGATCTGATTAGGTTACCTTGAATGATTAAAGGAGATATATAGAGATATAAATAGATATATCTCCCTCCCTCCCTTGTGCAGAACAGAAACTTAACAATGGCTGAAGAGTGGGGTCCATTATTCCCTCTTCTGAGTGTCATTCTATTGATTCAATTTCTCTCTTCTGATTATATTGCCTGTCTTCTCCTTCCACTGCTGTGAAACTTTCCATGCCACTTCTTAGGTACATAAACTTAAGAGTCACTAAGCTCGTTTGTGTTCCAGCACTGCTGACTATAGCTGTCTCAACTTCAAACAAAAATACCTAGTTTTCTAGTTTTTTTTTTAGTAGTAGTGGGTAACATGTTGGTACCTATATATAGTACAGTACTTATAAAATAAATAGATGAAAATATGTATGCTTTGTTGTAGTTATCTGTTTCTAAACATATGGAAAAATGGATTGAATGGGTTATTTATATGTAGTATAGTCATTACTCTTGGGGGCAGAATTCTTATACTAAGCTACTTTGGAGATCAAATTACCGATCTTTGGTAATAAAGTCATCTATTGTCAGAGTGACAGCTTTGGTAAAAACATGATTCCCTGAATTTAGGAAACTATTTAAGGAGCTCCTTCCTAGGTTTGTTAGAGCTTCAAAGGTTTCCACTCCTGTGAAATGAATGGGTGGTTTTCCTACCTACTTAGCTAGTTGGTATTTCTTTCCCCTTAGAAATGTGATATACAATATATTAGTCAATAAACACTGTTGATTTATTTTTTTTGAATTTCATAATTGTTTTGTGTAGTTATATAAATCATAGTTTTGTACAGTTACATTTAATCTTTATATTAGAATTCAGTTTTAAATTTTAAAAAATAACACCTTGGCCTCTGTGGTGATAAATTTAATTTTTGAAATTATATTTAGTGTTAGTAGTATTTTCCTTAAAATATGGCACTACTAGGATAAATCTTAGTATTGGTAGATTTTTTAAAGGATATAATTAATAATGTGTTTAGAGTTGTTAAAAACAAGCTTCACTGGGTTTTAGAATTACTTTCTACTTTCTGTCAATTACTTATTGACAGAATTAGCAATAGCTTCTAAATGTTTTTTACTTACCTTTTTAAGTCAACTATACAGCTGATTTCTAAGTGGTATTTTTGTGGTATATGCGTTTGATTAAATTTTTTGAACAGATAAACTTGCATAAAAACTTATTATTACTTTATTTTTTCCCTAAGGTATCCTTTGTGTGGCTGATCAATGTCATGGCTTACGAGAACTGGCCCTGAACTACCACTTATTAAGTGATGAATTGCTACTTGCTTTGTCTTCTGAAAAACATGTTCGATTAGAACATTTGCGTATTGATGTAGTCAGTGAGAATCCTGGACAGACACACTTCCATACTATACAGAAGAGCAGCTGGGATGCTTTCATCAAACATTCACCCAAAGTGAACTTAGTTATGTATTTTTTTTTATATGAAGAGGAATTTGACCCATTCTTTCGTTATGAAATACCTGCCACTCATCTTTACTTTGGGAGATCTGTAAGCAAAGATGTGCTTGGCCGTGTGGGAATGACATGTCCTAGACTAGTTGAACTGGTAGTGTGTGCTAATGGATTACGGCCTCTTGATGAAGAGTTAATTCGTATTGCAGAACGTTGTAAAAATCTGTCAGCTATTGGACTAGGGGAATGTGAAGTCTCATGTAGTGCCTTTGTTGAGTTTGTGAAGATGTGTGGTGGCCGTTTGTCTCAGTTGTCCATAATGGAAGAAGTACTAATTCCTGACCAAAAGTATAGTTTGGAGCAGATTCATTGGGAAGTATCTAAGCATCTTGGTAGGGTGTGGTTTCCAGACATGATGCCCACTTGGTAAAAACCCTCTTACGGAGGGCATGTTGAATAGTACCTTAATTTCAAGCAAATACATTATAATAAAAGTTTACTTGCTGTAGTTCTGAAATAATTCTATTTTATGGCACCAAAATTTGCTATTTCCAGTGAGTATATAAGGATTGTTTATTGGAAGACCTATGAATTAGTGTTGGTCAGAAAACTCCATTTATTTCTATAGCTTAATACAATCAAATCTCTGAAAAGTAAAAGAAAAAGGTGATTTTTATATTTGAAAGTAATAAGCAGTTATAGAAACTAAATAGTTTATAGTCCGGTGGAAACAAAAACCTATCTAATATCCAACAAGGGAATGCTAATAGGTTTTTTGAAATGTTATGTTCTCTATGCATTTTTTAAAAAATGTAAACTTGACATTCTTAGGGTCTTTAGTTATACATACACCTGTTATAAGGTGTTTAATATAGCTCAGGAAAGTGAGCATTTTGTGAGAAAAATGTAGGATATACAGTATAGTATCTAATGAAAAAAATTGGTTAAATGTTCTCAAATGTTATAAACCTGTTTAAAACAAGGAATATATATAAGTAATTGGAACGCTTAGAAACTGGTAGTGATCACAGGACAATACATAGAGCCAAGATCAAATTAAAATAAATGGAAGAGAAGGAAGGCAGTTAGCTTTGTATAAACTTTTAGGATTTCATCTATTATCTGCTAAACCATGTAAATTCTTTATTGATATGTTACTATGTGTGTGGCACTTGAGGCATTGTGAGGAATGCCTTACCAGTTCTTGATTTTCTTTGTTTAAACTAGTTTTTAAGTATTATTCAATAATTGAGATGAAAAGCTTTTTTACTTTAAAAAAGCCAAATTGTAATCTAGAACTTTAAAATGCTTATAAATTGTTTCCATGAAAGAATATTAGTCTCTAGTGAAATTTTGGTGATGCCTCATTTTCTATTTTTGAGTTATATAGTTATGTAAGTAGAATTTTAAATCAAAAAGTACCAGTGTACAGCTCAGTATAAACAGTAAATTTGAGATATTTAAATTCATAATATTTTTGAGTAAATACTGCTCTATGAACTGGAAAATTTTAACAGAAAAACATCTGCAGTTTTGTGATTGTTAATTTGGTTAAGCTGGTACATTATTTAAGTAGTGTTTCATATTACTTTAAATAAAAGTAAACCCATGCATTATAGAACCTGTAAAATACTAAGTTTTGGGCTATATTTAGTTGGGTTTATTTTTTTTAGATAGTACATAAACTCTGATGAGTCTAGGCACTAGTGCTACCATACCTTCCTAAGGCAAATTGGAAGTGATTTACCCCAATGAAACACATTAATGCTTGAAATGGCACTCATCAGTAGTTTTACTTTTAGAAAGTATCTTGGTAGTTATGGGAGCTAACAGGCTAAAGCTAGATAACCTTCTTTAAAAATAAAAAGTGATTTTCTATAATACATGCTTTTCAAAAGTGGTATTAGGGATCAGGGATATAGCTTAGTGGTGCAGTCCCTGCAAGTTCTTGTGCCAAAAACAAAAAGCATTCTATCCTTCAGCCACATATAATTGAGAAGAATAAAGGATCCAAATTTGAACACTAAGAGCAATTATTTATTATTTCCCCTTTTGTTAAATAGGAAAAAGCTTAGGTTGTACAAGAAATACCATGCTAGTGAATTTTTCTTAATTCTGGGAAATGGATTTGACAGTACATTGTCAGTTCTACTAACCAAAGCTTTATTTGAAAATTCACTTTTTGTACAAATTATATAATGCTTGAAATACCTTAAGTCACTTTATAAGCAAAATGTACAGTACTTAATTTGTTTATATTGTAACATATGTTTAAATGCTTTTATCAATTTGAGAATAAAGATAGTTACTAATGTTGTATTCTTTTGCCTCACATATATATTTGTTTGATTTTAAAACTAGTTAGACTTACATATTCATGGTTTTAGTTTCAAATCGTTGATAGGTGTATAATGTTTAATGTTAAACACTATTTATGGTAGATGCTTTTTTGAAAGGTCTCAAGATTAGACATTTGAAGTCTAGAAATTGCTTCTGATGCCTATGAATTATGTGAAATATAAATTTATCTTTTGAAACTTCATACAGAAAATAGCTAAAATAAGTTTTTTCTGTACTTTAGAAATACAATTCTCAGTCACAAATAATCCTTGAATACAACTAGCTTTTTTAAACTAAAAATTGTTTTCATTTCCTGGCAATGACTTTCAGAATGTATCTTCAAATTATGTGGGTGATTTAGGCTATTTTAACACTATCATAAAAGAAAAAACAAGCGGGGCTGGGGATTTAGCTCAGCGGCATAAGCACCTGCCTTGCAAGCAGGCAGTCGTGAGTTCGATCCCTGGTACTGATAAAAACGAAAAAGACCAAAAAAAAAAAAAGAAAAAACAAGCATGATTGAAAACTACTGCAAACTAAAAATAATTTTTTGTATTTATTAAAAACCCCAGTTTATCTGTAGGGCTAATTTTAATGTTACCAAGCAGTTAAGAAAAACCTCACCTACTGGCTGATGCGTAATTTCCTTTAAAAAAAAAAAAACACAAAAAACAAGGACACCAAATTAGTTAAAGAGTGAATGAAGAGCTTCACTTTGGACTAGTCAGTCCAATAAAAGAATATATTCTTAGCTTAAAAAGGAGAAAATCTAGAAAAGATAAATTTGAAGAGTACAAGGCTGTGAGACGAGAAAGCGTAAATATAAGGAAAATGGTAGAAAAAATCCACTGATTTCCCCTTTGGAACAGGGGAGAACATTGTGAAGTTTTAGAACATTAGCTTCTATACAGCATGCCAAGAATTTGTTACTAAGTGCCAATGGAGCAGATTATAAAGCTGGATAAAACTTCCCTAATATTTGTAATTTTATTTCTGAATTTTGACATGGAGCCAGTACTGATTGAGGGCTCCAAATACTTAAAATAGCTTTGACCTTTTGACTGTTCTTTTCTACCTTTAATATTTAGATAATACTATAGGTAAACTTAGCTAACACTGAACCACATTAATTAGTAAGGATATATTCTGAAGCTTGTCATATTCAAATCTAAAATCGTCTCTTAAAAGAACTTTTACATATTTTTAATTCCAGCAACATAATAGAGATCACATATAAGTTATAACTCAAAGAGTAGCAAAATATAATTGGCAGATTCCTGCTAAGGCTTGTTTTGGTTTCCCAGCTACCATGTGAAAGCATGTTCTTGAATCATTTCTGCTTGAAAGTTCCACTTTATCTTTTAAATAAACTTGACAGGTATCATGAAATCTTAAATGCTAAATATTTTTGTGAATGCTTTGCCCTCTGTTGTCTGATTCTATATAGTTCTTTGATGAAGTTTTTCATTTATTCTTAGGAACAAATCATAAGTATAAATCATTTTATAACAAAATCATGCTTTAAAAGTGAAGTTTCATGTAAAAATGTCTTTATTTTGTTGTGGAACCAAGTGCTAAGATATGTGATACAAGAATATTTCCTTAACACTTGAGTGCAGATCTGGAAATCCAGAATAATTTGGCAGTGCAATGTCACCAATTTGGTAGGAGCTGGTGTTGCCTGGTTTAGCCACTAGATGGTGATAATGCAAAGATCCAGTTTCTTGTGAGGATCCTAAAACAGGTTAAAAAGACAACCCTTAGCAATGGTTAAAGGCATTGTAAGCCAAATGAGGGGCAGTGGAAGAAAATTCCGCCTGTGCTTTTGAGGAAGCCTAGGCAGAACAGCGCTGCTCAAGCTATCTGGGGTAACTGCATTTTTATTTTCAGACTGAGACCAACACTTGAAAAATAAAAATTGCCTAGACAAATAAAATAACACTGACAGAAAACACAAGTGCCAGAGGGTTTTTTGGTTATTGTTGTTAATTAGCTCAATAGAAACTAAGGTGCTTTAAAAGATTCTAAATGTTTTCCCTAAGTAGTTCCACTTATTTCACAGACTGGTAACATTTGGTGGCTAGGCACTGGTCCAAGGACTGCACATTTGAATACTGAAAAACTTCAGTGTCTGATTTCATCTGAATTTAGTATCTATAGGTAGGTATCCATGGACAGGTCAGTTAACCTTTATAGATTCCTATTTACTCATTTGGGTGAGGTAAGCAGTATGATTAGGCTTTTATAAGAGCTCAATAATGTACTAACCTCTCAGGAAACACTCCAATGTTAGGTGAAACTGAAGAATATAATTGGTCCTTTTATATATGAAACATTGCTTCCTCTGATCTCCATCTTACTGTATTTTCCATGAATAGAAAAAAATGTATTCAGTTGATCATAACATACTTAAGATCTTAAAAATTTGTGTGGTACCCCTAACAAGTACAGTGACTTGGAGATCTTGTCTTTGCAAAGTGCACCCTCTTCACTGGTAGCATTTGTGGGAGAAGGAAGAACTATAGAAAACAGAATGGAGTTAGAAGTACCTGTCTATCCAGACATGGCTGCAGCTAGATAATTCCATGCCCCACAAGGTTTAATAACTGCTTAAGTACTATGCTATCAGCTCAAAGTCTAGATGATTACAAAATGTAGGAGAGCTGGCATGTAACTTAAGATCAAAGATGACACATTAATCATAATTACCATTCCTTGTGACCTTACTACCCCATTCTTTACAACAGTCCTGACATGATTCATTATAGAGATCAGAAAACTTATCTATAGAGGTATAGTGATGTTAAGTTGCTTAAATCATAAAACCAGTTATAAACTACATGGTAGAAATTTGGCTGTTAACACTTTACCACATATGGGAGCAAAATCTCTCCAGCTATGTTGTCCAAACAACTCTTTCAAGTTACCTGAATAGAACACAGAATACTAGACCTGGTTTCAAAAGCTACAAAAGCAGGCTGGGGATTTAGCTCAGTGGCATAAGTGCCTGCCTGGCAAGCCCAAGGTCAACAGTTTGATCTTCCGTACCAAAAACAAAAAAGTTACAAAAGCAGTAAAGTCATTCTAAACTAACACTTTTTACATGAAAAAGTGTAATTACCATACTAGAGAGACTAACTTCTACCATGAAAATGTCACTATCAGAACCTAAGAAACATACTGCACAAGAACCATTGTTCTCCATGCTAATGGATTTGGGAATTGAAATCAGGGTCACTTAACATGTTCATTTTAGTCCATATAATAGAATTTCAGCTTCTTTCCAAGAATAGTCTTCAGCTATTAACACATAACAATTCTACCAGTGTGCATTTTACCTGAGGAAAGCTAAGAAATCCACAAATGTTAAAATCACCTGCCAAAAAACAGATGCTGGGGATTTAGCTCAGCGGCGTAAGTGCCTGCCTTGCAAGCAGGCAGTCATGAATTCGATACCTGGTACCAATAAAAAAAAAAAAATAATGCTGGTGGCTAGACAAAAAAAAGCAGTAAGTAGAATTAAAGTTTTATAAACCAGTGAACGTTTTATGTCTGTTAGGTAAAGGGATTTCTTCATATGTTATTTTAACAAAAGGGTACTTCATAGGTAAAAACCAGTATTCAAAATTATAAAACAAATAGAACTGTCTGTGTATAATCACTGAATCAAAAATTTGCAAGAGATTCAACAAAAATTCTTTAGTTGACAAGTGTGGTTTGAAAGGGTAATAAAATCTTCTTAGGGCTAAAGCAAGAGTCTTATTTCCTGTTGGCCCAAAAATAGATGTTTCATTTCCCAAATAAGAAGGTTCTCCACTGTAAAGAAATATCCTTGTATAGTTGGTTTCTATCTTCTTGAACTCTGTTCCAAGTTCAGCTAATTTCTCATATGTCCTTAACACAAACTTTGAACAGTCGAAGGATTCAAACCATGTCTCTGCTCCTTTTCCTGGGCTGGCTTGGACAGTCCATGTCTCATAATAAATTCCTGTTTCATTGTCCTGTTTCACCCACTTTGCCATTTTGTTAAATGTGTTTCCTAGTTTAAAAACAAAACATCAAACTAATGTTAGTTTTAAGCAAAATATTCTTACCTAATTAAACTGTTGATGCCTATGAGTAAGAGATTTGTTTTGGATTTTCAAGTCTCATGATAATAGTCCAAGCTCAGCCAGGTTTTTTTCTTTAAGGCATTGCTGAATTATAAACATTAGATACAATAGGTATATAGAGAGAACACTTACTAATCCTATAATCTTTAAACTATTTGTCAAAAGGGAGATTATATAAATGCAGCCGCTCTCTGTACTATTCATATTTTGGATTCAGAGTCAGAAAAGGAGAGCAAGGAAGGAATTGGAGAAGAGCAAAAGAAGAGGCAAAGACAATGTCAGAAAAAGAGAAGCATAAAATTGTGCTTTTCTCTTAGGAAATATGATATGCAATCAGCAATGAATGACTGTGAAGCAGCTGCATCAGAAATCTGGCCTGCGATTTATAAGAAGCACCAGTCCATCTACCTTGAATATGTGGTTATCTCCCTTCTCTCACACCCCCACTTGCAGCTGCTGGAATGCAGCTAATGACTTTCCCAACCATCTACTAAATTCTTCAAAGAACCAACCAAACTGTAAATGTTTTTGGCCAGCCTATACAGATTCCAGGTTGTCAACCTTCTTTGCTATTCAGAAAACTATTGCTTTACATTGCTACAACCCTCATCTGGGCAATCTGGGCATTTATAATGCTCCATACAGCCAGGTATCACTCTTTCATCTGTCATTGTATTTAAACCTTTCTTTCGTTTCCCCAATATGGTAAAATTAATAATTCATGTTCTGTGAAATAAACAGAGTGGCTGTCTTTATCAATTTAATGGAATTTAAATTGTGGAAGTTTTCTTAGAGCTACAGGCATTATTTCTAGTGTTCAACTTTGAAAAGCCACTGCTGTACTTAAAGAGATATGCCATTATTGTGGTTCAAAACACTATGCTGTAATATGAAGAAAAGGGCATGTACCTAACATGATCACAAGTTAGACAAATGAAAAGATTTAAGTAGTAGCATACTGGGGGCTGGGGATTTAGCTCAGCGGCATAAGCACCTGCCTTGCAAGCAGGCGGTTGTGAGTTCGATCCCTGGTACCGATAAAGAAAAAAGACAAAAAAAAAAAAACAACAAAAAAAACATAAGTAGTAGCATATTACAAACTACATTATGAAAAATAGGGATCACTTGTTTATATGATCACTGTAGGTCAGAAGAAAACTCAGGTAGAAAGATGTGTACTGGTCTGGAAAGAAAAAGCATCTATTGTACCGAGCACTGTGGAAACAGATGGACTTTCATATTGCTGGGATGGTTTGGGACACACTGATTAGAAAAGAGGAAGGAAATTAGAAAACTGCCCTTCTTTTCAGTTAAAAGATCCCCAGATTACAGGATCTCAATTCTAGTTTTGGTTCTGCTGTATCCAGCTTTATGACTGAATAAAAGTTTAGTCACCTTCCCTGGCTGAGACTGAATTCCTTATTTGTAAAAGGACAAAAGGTGTCTTACTCTCTGCACAAAATATATGAGTGATTATAATTATGAGAGATTTGTAAAAACTGTGTAAGTAGAAAGCCTGATAATTCCCTCAAGTCCTGGGATCCAACGAATGAGTATTATTACCAACCCACCAACACTGCCTTCACTTCTGATGTTTCTAGTTTGGGGGCTGCGCCCTCGATTTGTAACACACAGCTCTATAAATAGTACGAGTAAGTTCTAAATTATGATGGTAGCATTCTATACATGAAGTACTATGCCAATAAGCTGATGAAAATTCTGTTGAACTCCTTTCCTCACTAATCAATAGAGCACATGCAAAACTTCAAATACATTAGCAAATTTCTAATATATCCAAAAGGACAGAAAATCTCAGAGATAAAACATTTAAAGTGTTCAAGAGGCTGTCTCTCTGCCTCTGTCTGTCTATCTGTCTATCTATCTATATAAATTTGGGGATAATATATATATAAATAAAAATTTGGGGCATAGCATGCCAAAATTTAACCCCTATCTTGGGGTTAAATGCCAGGGTTACTTAACTGTATAACCTCTCTCCATATTTACAAGGGGAAAATAATTAACTCTTGTGATGATAAATGTTGTGACACATGTACAGCATTCAGTCTAACCTGTTCTAAATCTAAGTAAGGGCTATTATTTCTCAACATGAAAATATTTTAGTATGGCATCACTTAAATTTTTTTGTAGTTACAGTTAATATGGCCTTTAATCAGATACTTTAGGGATTTCCTTTTCTGTTTTATAGTTCATGGCTTAATTCTTTCCATGATTCTGGTGTCAAACTGAAACGGATGAGAACCATATCAAATTCAATGATTAGGTTCAATACTGACCTTACAAGGAAATCTGATCCAACTCTAGTTCAATTCAGTTTGCCACTAGAATCATGAAAAGAACTGTCATAAACTGAGGCATTAATGTATTTAAAAAGTTCAGTTTAATTTTACAAAGCATTTTCTATTGTTCTTTCTTCTATAGAACAGAGCAAGAGATAAGCTATGCATCACCTACGAAGCTGTAAATGAGTACTAGTTTGGGTCACAGTGTATTGGTGCCCCAAAAGCTTTTCATTCACATGCAATTTTCATTGCGCACTAACACAATCATCTATACTGACATATATTTAAAACTTACCTGATATGGTTGCTATTAGAACTAATGTCCCATTTTCCTTCCAATGGATATCATCAATTCCTTCAAAAAAGCAGGCAGCTCCTTGGTTACACCAGAAAGGGGCATCCATTTCGGGTCTGAGATGAGGAAATGTACAGTTGCCAAGCTGGAAAAGTTCATACCACTCCATTGTGTAGTTCTTGCCAGTTAAGGTATTCCTGAATCCAATGGCATCATGCATAATTTTCTGTATAAAGATAATACATGTATGAAAGCATCTGAGAAGTAACCATGGGTTCAAGTAATCTGATGGGAGAAAATGTGATATACTACAAAATACGTATCATGAAAAACAGCTATTCACCTCTTCCCCTTCTGTGTCACTATTCTTATGTCCCTCTGTGGTCTCTCAAACTCCAGGCCCTCATCCACTCTGCTTTTGGCCTCTTACCATCTTAGACAGGAGGGATAAAGGCTTTATGGAAACACATGTCATTTTCTTAACCTTCGACATAAGTACAAGAAGCCTGCATACTACAGCTCTAGAAAGGAACTCAAAATACCTCACAGAGGTACACGGTAACCTAGAAAAGTGAAATCAAGAAATGCTTCCTGGCTGCCTTGCTTTTTACTATATCCTTGCTGATCATTTTCCCAAAACCAGGTACAACAGATAGATTAAAATTCCTAACATTAGAAAGCATTAAAGTGAATGCATTTGTTACTGTCAGAATTACAAAATCTCATCATAACACTTTTACTACTCATATTTAATATGCTAGCAGGAAATCAACAAATTTGATCTGGGTACTAGCTCAAGTCAATTTAATAACTAAATCAAAAGTTACAAGATTAAGATGCATCCTTACAAAATGTCCCAGCAGGTCCCCGTATTTAAATTCCCATACTGGGGTTTGTAGTCGAAAGACTTCAATGACATCATCATTCTTCATAACTGGGATCGGCGAGCCAGTGGGACAGAAAGTGTACTTAGCTTGACAAAAAGGATCTGGTTCTGGGCGGAAGGAAAAGCGTCTAATAAAGAAAGAAAAGCTATCAGCTTAGATTCTAAGAGGAATCCAGGTTTTCATTTCACCATAACATTTTTAGGGAAAGATCATTGTGACTGAATACAAACATACACTTTACTTATCCCATGAATAATCTTTCAGTGATACCCTTAATAGCAAAGGATAATATGGAAATACATACATTTACTTAAGAATTAACTTTCATTCATCCCACCAACATTTATTGAGAATTTGCTACATGTAGGACTAGACTGAAAGGAGAGAAACAAAAATGATAATGTTGGGAGCTGAAAATATTAAACAAGCCATGAGGCACCCTGGGGTAAGTGGTAAACTAAGGAAATAAAGTCCTACGGCACAAGATGAGAAATCATTTCTCCTTGATGGGGAATGGGTGGGGTTGGGAGGGCAAAGAAAGAGATGAAGAAATAGCTTAGGTATGAAATAGTTGTAGAGAACATTAGGACAGAAAACAGTAAGTGTTATAAGATAAGGATGCACGGGGGCTGGGGATTTAGCTCAGCGGCATAAGCACCTGCCTTGCAAGCAGGCAGTCATGAGTTCGATCCCTGGTACCAATAAAAAGGAAAAGGACAAAAAAAAAAAAAAAAAAGATAAGGATGCACATCTGAGGGTCTCAGATGAGCCTGGGTTAGAGCAGGACGGGAGAGCAGAGGTAGCCAGGGGCTGACATCGCTGGCCCTAAGGAATGAGAAGGGCACCCCTGGAATGCTAAGCTCCGGCAGGATTGAGCCCTTGAGTGAGCCTAAAACATTTAAAGCAGCAGATCTGATGAGACTGAATATGCTGTAAAGTAAACCTTATTGTGAAAACTAAGAAGCAAGAAGGGCCAAGGTAAGGCGGAGAGCTCAGTCAGGAAGTGACTGCAATAATGCACACGAGAACAGAAGACCACAGAAGGCCACAAAGGTGGTGTCTGTAGCCAGATTCAGCTCTATGGGCACTTACTAGTCACCGTCTAACCTTGGCACTGGGAGAACAAGAATAAAAAGCAGCAGCTTGTATCCTCTAAAAGTGCTAAGATTTCTGTGGTTCTAGTCTGATGGATTTTGTAACAATCCTTAATACATGAACAAAAGTTTCTACTTTAATTTCGGTACTTACCTATATATTTAAACAAATATATAACTATATGTGAGTTTCTTTTGCCCACAGCACAATGCCTTTTAGATCAAACATAATTTATAAAGCACAACTTAAGTACAAACTTAATACGGGTAAACATACTCAACTGAGACAATTGAATGGGGGAATGCACTTAGTTGCTGGAAATTGAGGAAAAGTAAGAAATCATAGCTAATGACACAGTATGAGGTATAAATATTTTGGGTTTATAGTCTGCTGGTTTTGTTGGATATTTAATTTTTAGTTCTTTTTATTTTTTTAAGAGTACTAAGCGACCCTAAGCTTCATCCCTATCGCCAACCCTTAGCCTCCAAGCAGCTGGGATTTCAGACCTCTACCTCTGATCTCTCTTTTCATATACATCAAGTATAAACATTCCATGAGCAGAATACATGAATATTTAGATTTGACAACAACTAGTATTTACTAAAGGTAATCTTGCCAAAAAAAAGGGGGGCTGAGGATTTCAACTGTTCCCATTTTCTGAGTCAACACAGGTGAGCTGAGAGATGCTGAGTATCTTTCCTTTATCTCAGGGGGCTAGATTCCATCAGCAGCATAGGAACACTGAATTTACCTGAGATTCTCCTGCCTTGGAACTCATTATTCTGTCAAGTAAAAATAGTTGTGTATTTTCAAAAGCAGTTGGCCTCTCCCCCGCTTGAGGTCACCAGGCTTGTGTTCATGGTTAGCTACCTCCCAGTTTTAGACTGGGTCGGACTCTTCTTGATCAAAGCCTGGAAGGAAGCACCTGCAATTTCAGCACTCTGGGAGGCTGCTGCAGGCCACTGCGAGTTTGACCCCAGTCTGGGTAATACAAGGACTTGGCGAGGCCTGATGTCAAAAATGAAAATTTAAAAAAGGACAGAAGATGCAGTTCTGAGCGAAGAGGGGCAGGGATGCACCTCAGTGCAAATATCCTGGATTCAAACCCAGTACTCTTACAAAATCAGCTTCACAGGTTTGTAGCCACTGTCCTCGATTTCTGACCAGTGCTCTACCTCTAAGTTGAAGAAAGTGGACAAAAGAGACAGACGGCCAACCTTCCCCGCTGGCCCGGGAGGGACTGGGACTTAGAATACAAACACGGATGTTCAGTGCCAAGTGAGGAAGTTGGTCACCCCACATACTAAATATGTGATGACTGCGGATAGTGCACGAAGTAACAAACCAGTCTCCAAAGTGTTCTGAGCTGCTAGCGCAGTCAGTTCCCAGCATTTAAAGTCGCTGGGCGTAGCAGCATTACTTGCGTTCCTTCCGCGATTAGGGACGCCCCGCGCAGGGCTCCAGCGGCACGGGAAAGTCCCCAGCGCCGCACGCCAAGAGCGGCTGCGACTTCCGGGGTCTCCACCGTGCGCCAAGCCGAGGGTCCCCCGAGGGCCCCTCCCGCCGCCTCCGCGCAGCCGGGACTCCAGCAGCGCGCCCCCGGGCCGCCGCACTCACTTGTAGGGCACGGGCCAGGGCCGCCGGGAGGGGCCGCCCGAGGCCGGCGACCAGCCCGGAGTCGCCGTGAGCCAGAGCAGCAGCGTCAGGGGCCAGCGCCGCGGCCCCAGGCCCCCCGGCCCCGCACCCCGCGCCGGCGCCATCCGCAGCTCGCGGTGCTTCTGGGCGACGCGAGGCCCCACCCTCTGCGTGCGCCGCGCCCCGCCCACGCCGCACCCCGCCCCGCCCCACGCCGCGCCCCGCCCGCCCCGCCCCACGCCGCGCTCCTTGGTGGCGGCGGAGGGTTAGCCGGGCGCGTGACCGCCCCAGCGTGTGATGTCGTGCCTGCCGCGCCCGCGTCGGGGGAGGGTGCCGCGTCCTCCCCGCCCCAGCGCCCTGCGCTGCCAGGAAGGTCCCCGAGCGCGCCTTCCGGGTCTGCGTGCGTTTTGTATCTGTCAGTGGCCTGTGCTGCCGGCGCTTCTGGCTCAGGTCTTAGGGTGCACCTTCTCGGATTACTCCCCCCACGTCCACAGAAACGAAGCTGACAGAAGTCTGCCTCGTGTGTTCTCCTCAGGATTCTGCAGCCCTGGCCTGGGACCGCAGGCTCCACGGAGAGTATTTAGTGCGCGTGACCACCCAAAGCCCTGCTGAATGTGTGCCCCTGTGTTGCGACTACAGCTTAATTGGAAAGAAGATTCTAGTTGCGTTCCATCCGTGGTCCCTCAACCACTGCAAGGGAACGACGGGATCAGCTGCGTGGCTGCCTATGTGGCCCTCGTGGCTTTCCGTGTACGCTTAGGCTGATTGATTTCTATGAGCCATTCATTAAAGGGCTTGTCACAGAGTCATTTGTTTAATGAGAGCAGCCTGCCAAGCTCTTAGAACAAGGCTTGCAAGTCTTTCACTTTACCTGTGACACGTGTGAATTGTAGTGTTAGTAAGTGCATTAGAAAAAGCAAGGTGGCCTCAGCTTAGAGTGACCACCAGAATTCAGCTCTGTGTGTGTGTGTGGGGGGGGCTTCCTCAAGTTTGAGAGGCAACTGGTTAACACACATGCCCACACGCTGTGCGAGATTGAGTTCTGGGGAAGTTAAGGCAGGACCCCATTTTAACATCCACTTGGTCTAAGCCTCTTTTTGAGACATCCCTCTCCTCTATATAGTATTGGCACCCAATTCAGAAAACCAGAGCAGAACTGGCTTCTCCAAAGACCCACCCAAGGTGAGAGAAGAAAGCATTCTAGCCATTAACAGCTGAAATGGAACTGGTGATTTAGAGAGAGCTTATGTGGGCCTACCTCTGAGCATGGCATAGAAAATACCAAAGGAAGAGAGTGCCCTGATGTCACATTAGAGCCTTTACAGTTAATAGAACTACCTATCAGGACACAGTGGAACTTCCCACCCACCTCAGAGATACAAAAGCAACTTAAGATTTACCTTAACCATTAACAGAGACCCTCTCTTGGGCCTGCAGCCCCCTCTGTGTGCAGAGAGCTGTCTGATGTTTTTCCTCCTGCGTGCATTAACAGACTTCTGATAACCCATGTCCTCTGATCCAGTTCTGCCTAGAGGCAATTTGGACTACACTTGTTCTTGTCCTGTGACCCTATATCCCAAGCCAAAGAATTGAGCAGGACACTCAGGAATAACAAGAAAGATTTATTAAAAGTGAAAGAAGGTACCCTATGCTCCACAAGATAGGAATTGATCAGTAAGAGTAGCTCACAGAGGGCAGGCACCGGGTCTCTTAAAATCCTGGGATTTTGGGAGGCTCTGCAGTTGAAAGTTGACAGGAGTCATGGCCTTACAGTCCTTGTCCATCTATTGGGAGAACTTTTGACCCTGCAAGATTTTTTGAGAAAGTATCATAGCATCCAAAGCCTAGTAGGGGTGAACAGGGGGTGTCAAATCCACAGTGCACATGAGATTGCCAGGATCACGTACTTTTGATTTTGCTTATACCTAGGAGTCTTGGAGAGACAAGGAGCTCTGCCCAGCTTCTCATTTCTTTCCCCACAGCTGCTTGTTGTTTATTTGTCCTTGTTCCACCTCCTACTCAGTTCTGTTTCCTTGCAAACTCTGCTGTTAGGCATGGAATTTCATATCCAGAAATTTTCCATCTTATCTGGGTTGTAAATTGAGGCTATCCGAAGTTTTCCAAACAGAGGTGGGATATTTCATTTTTGTAAATACAATTTAAAACAGGAAATCTCTCTGTAATTTTAAGAAAAAAAGTTTCTTGAATTTTAAGAATTTTAAGAATTTAAGAAATTTTAAGAAAAAAAGTGAATAACAAAGCAAGAAGATGTTACGACATTTTATGATCTACTATAGCTTAGAAGAAATATTATTTCTAGTAATTCTTTTTTCAGTACTAGGGATTGAACCCAAGACCTCAAACATGCTGGGCAAGTCCTCTGCTACTGAACTATGTGCCCAGTTATTTTTATTTTTATTTTGAGATAGCTCTTGAACTTTAGATCTCCTGTCTCAACCTCCCAAATAGCTAGGATTATAGGTATATGCTTCTGTGCATACTGTTTTCTGGTAATTTTGAGGCTGCATCTGTCTTTTATTCCAGGATGAGGTACTCAAGTAGCATGGAAGATTTTGAAGTCTGAATTAATTTTTACTTTTTCACAAATGATTACATGAGTATTATAAACCATTGTGCTGAGAAGGGGCCTTACCAAGTTGCCAAGGGTGAACATAAAACACAAGGAAAGATCAGAGATCCAGCCCTCAGCATACTAATTTTCTACACTGATTCTAATGCCAGAAGTAAAAAAAAAAAAAAAATGATGTAGCCAAAAATTCTCTCCCCAAAAGTTTATGAGTCTTGGGTATACCTGTTTTATACCTGTTTTTTAGGTGTGTGGTTGGCCTTATATAAACACATCAATTTTATGTAGGTCTTATTTTCAGATTTTTATCAACAACTTCACTTTCTGTAGCACAACTTATTTATGGTCAATGATGATTTTAAAAGCATGATTTATCTGTGAATTTAATAAAGTTAGAAATCATTCACATGAGAGATTAGCTTTGGGATCTACTTGGGGACTGTTGGAGCACAGTTCTGGGTATATCTGGGTAGGTTATGGGGCATGAAATTGGGGTGAATATCTAGTTTCTCATGCCTGCCTTTCTGGGGCTGCTGTCCTGCTATGCTTCCTGGCTGCTATGTATTAGGGCAACTTTGGTTCACTGTGCCCTTCCACAGTAATGTTTCTGCCTTGGAGACAACCATGGGCTGAACTCCCACCGCCACTGAAACCATGAGCTAAATTAAAACTTTTTTTAAGTTGTGGGTGTGGGGTGGTGTCCCAGCAATGGGAAAGCTGCCTACTACAGAAAAGTAGTATCAAGAGTGGGCTCATCTGGAAGCCTTGGAATTGGTCTGTGGGGGGACTTTGGAAAGTTTGAAGAAATGCTCTACAGAATGCAGTAAACAGAGATGAGCTTGATGGTTGATTCTGGTTGGAGCTCAGAAGACTAGAATGTTGATAGTGGTGTGAACGGTAAAGGTCAGTCTCAGGAGGTATCAGATGAGAACAAGGACTCCTTTGGCAGTTAGACTAGAGACCATGTTTGCTATACTCTGTCAAAAAGTTGTCTATGTTTTGTCCATGTTATAACAGTTCGCAGAATATTGAGATTTAGGTTAATGTGGGAGAAGAAATTTCAGGACAGGCAAACATTGAGGCTGTGGCCTTAATAATGCTGGCTGCTTTTAGCTAAACTTGTAATGAGAATTAGGGGCAAAAGGCAGAGTAGAAAAATTTGAACAACTTACATTCTTGCTCAGAAGGAACCAGGTATTAAACTGGGGCCAAAGGAGGTATGGCTACTGAAGAGTTTAGCGCCATTAAAAAGAAACCAAGTACTTTGTACAGGGACAGAAGAAAGATGCCTCTGAGGGCATATCATCTCAGGAATCAGCAAGACCCAACGCCCTGCATGCACACAGATGCAGAAGTGTTAGATTTTCATTTGCATAGACAGGCTCTGGGGCCCCTGCTCTAGAAAGTCTTCCTAGGGTGCTGTTTCAGCCACTCAGACTTGGACTTGGACTTTTGAAGATAGTGGAACTGTTGAAAATTTGGGGAATTGTTTGTTTCCAGGTGTACGTGGGACATTTATATTATATTATGCAGAATTATAAACTCACTATTGTTTTTATTTGAAGATTAAGTGTGGCTTAGGGAGATGTGTTTGAATATGAAGCTGACAAAGGGTAGGCTGGGGAGGTTAGGGTACAGTGCCTACTTGATTGACTGTAGAATCTTCCCAGGGGATTGGTAGGCACATTTCTGGGCTTGTCTGGATGGGTCATGGAGGTGTGAAATTCAGGTTTATATCAAGTCCCTTGCTCCTTTATCACTGTCACCGTTCACCAGCTCTACTTCTCATCTGTCATGAGCTAAGCAGCTCTGTTCCATATTCCTTTCTGCCATGCTGTTTCAGCCTCAGAGACGGCTGACCATGAACTGAATCCCCTGAACCATGAGCTAAATTAAATCTCTCCTGCTCAAACTGTGGATGTCAGGTATTGTGTTCCAGCAGGGAGAAAACTGATTAATACTGGAAGCAACCTTACGTTAACCTCTTCCATGTTTTTGTTCCTGCTCAAATTACTTCATAAAAAAGCAACTCTTATGCCATGCTAAACAGAACTCTTTCTATTTTTGATGGGGTGTCGTATAACTTAGAAATCACTAATAAAACCAGTTTGATTTTAAACCAAATTTATTGCTTTGTTCTCTCTCCCTTGCTCTCGCTCTCACTCTTGCTCTGATTCTGTGCCCGCCTTTTGGGGGTTCAAACCCAGGAAGGGCTCATGCATGCATGTAGGCAGATGCTACACCTTCAACTCTGAAATTTTCTGCGCCATGTATATCAAGGAAACTAGAGTGGTACAAGCCATTCAATGAGCAGGTACACACTCGTATGAAGATCTAAAAACAGCTGAGAATTACTATCTTTATTCCTACCAATAACCAATGAAAAAGGGCTACTTCCTACTTTCAGATTGAGGATACGTAGACACAGAAATATTGAGTAACTTTCCTATTATCATAGGTGACAGCAGTGATAGAGTCAGATTTGATTTCTAGCACTCAGAATAAGAACAGATGGTTATGCCTCTAGATTTCACTATTATTTACCTCCTTTTCCTTAATGCTAGCTATGGCTTCT